GTTTTTTTTTCTTCATTCTTTCCGTGTGCCTATTTGAATCTCTGAGATGTTACATCATAACTGTATTACTGCATTTTGTATTATGTCCCAATCCGCATTACTGCATTTTGTATTATGTCCCAATTAATTTCTTGATAATCTTGTTCTGGACCATCCGTCCCCACCAAAACTTAATAGAAATAGAAGAAATGTCAGTTTGCATACCTGTTTTCTTCCTAGGCGTATATGAAATACTTTACTTGGATGTGAATAACACATTCTTGCAATACTCGAGTGTGGTAAAATACACAGGGTGTTGCCCTTAGTGCAATGCTGGCAGTAATACAAAGATAAATTGTTCTCAGCCTAGTCCACTTTTTTCATAAGTCACTTAATCTTCACTGGCTAATAGCTTGGGTTCCCAATTATGGTGAACCATAAACTAATCATCCACATTTTAGCCAGTGACGGCAAAACTTTTGGGTTCAACGTATCAAAAATTGGGGAAATGCCTAACTTGACTCTGATAGTGTGTTACCATCCACCTCCCACGAATAAATGAGAAACAATTCTTTACATATTATTTTTAAAATATACGGTCCGATCATATTACCTTCAGGCAGAGTTCTCTTCCTGTTGAACATCCCCCCCCCCAAAGCCTACCGAAGACAATTTTGGGTGGCATAAGGCCTTCGTTCTTGAAGCAGCTTTGGAGAAAACTCTTCCGCGGCATCTGCAGCCTCCAAAAACCATACAAAAGCACTCCCTGTTCTATTTTTGGAGGTCCAGAAGTCATATGAAAGCACAATCTGGAGGCTGCATGAGAGCACAACCCATTCACACACAGCCTCTACAGCCCCCCCAAAGTATGTGAGAACAAGGTATGCTTTCAAGAATAGTTGTCAGGTTCTGGTGAAAGTTGGTATGTCATCTAAATGTTGTGTTGTGTCATTTTGACATGTGTGACGTACATTTGCCATGATTTTTTTGGTAGCCATATGTTATACAAATCCAGTTTTTCTGATTAATTTGCAACACAGCCAATTGTGTTAATCCCACAAGCTATAGTTAATTTAACAAAGTTAAATGGGTTGCATGAAACACTAACTCCTTAGATGAAATATAAGAACTGCACATGATTGTTGCAGATGTCTTAAAAGTTTAAAAATATAAAATTTAAAACTGTGGACAAAGTAAAGGTACCCTGAGAGGGAATATTCTGACCTCTCCATCCCAATTATCTTAACATCTTGGATTTGTTTACTGATTTGTCTGGGTAACTTTTCCTTTCAACCAAGCATGGAATTAGCTACGTCTCTCTGATTTTTTAGCATCTTTGTCCCAGTGCAAATTAGTGCATAATATTGCTTCCAGGTTCTTCAGTAACCGATTATGTTTTAAGCATGCAAACAACTTGTACAGACTGGAACTATGTTAGCTGTGTTAGCACTTGGCATAACTCCAGCTGTATGTTGTGCCAAGTCTGCTAATACAAATGTTTATTAAAGAATGGTAAATGCAACTTCCAAAGTAAACAAATACCCTGGGATCTTTGACAATGATTGTTTTTCTTTTTTACCTAAGAGACAAATTTTTGAATTTCAATATTAATGAAACAGGTTTGTCACCAATAATAAAGATAGGATAACAACAATCAATAATTAATAAATAAACTTAAGTAACATAGACCTCTCCCTTGTGATCTAAAATCCAGGCAGAGTGAACAGCGAAGAAGCAACCCAAAACTGCTATTCAAAAGAGAACAATCCATGCTTGTGGATTTAAAATTTTTCTTTTTAAAACTTCCATCATTTTGGGTGGAAATCATATTTCTCTCATAAAAAAGGAAATACAGGTGGAATGCCATAATAAGGTATTTTATATTTTAAATATAAAAAAATAAGGCACAAATGTTTAGATAATATATTTACTTTTAGCAAATCCTCAAGTTTTTTTTTTAATTTTTAATTTTTAATTTTTAAAAATTTGATTTATATGCCGCCCTTCTCCGGAGACTCAGGGCGGCTTACAATGTGTTAAGCAATAGCCTTCATACTTTTGTATATTTTACAAAGTCAGCTTATTGCCCCCACAAACTGGGTCCTCATTTCACCTACCTTAGAAAGGATGGAAGGCTGAGTCAACCTTGAGCCTTGGAAAGATTCGAACCAGCAGTAAATTGCAGGCAGCTGTGTTAATAACAGGGTGCGTAGACCACTGTACTATCAAGGTTCACTATCACTATCAAGTTGTGATTGAACAGCTGCATGGTATAAGGGGATAAAACTAAGGCATTCTCATTATCCAAACTAAACAACTTACCGTGTCATATGAATATTTTCAAACTATGCCAGAAACTCAAGTCAGAATTAAGCATTCCATCTTTGCAGTCTGTCAACTATTAAGCTCTTTAAGTGTCTCAGAAACACCACTGAAATTCCTGATTTTATAATGTAACAAGTGCAAGTACAGGAGAGTTTCAGTAGTGAATGAGACATGATTGTGTTCTCCAACCTTTTTTTTTTAATTGCTATAGTATCTTATCATCAGCTATAGTCATCTCTTTAAGAACTTGAGGAAGCAAGATCTAAATACTAAGCCGCTCGATCGTACAATTACTATGCACAACACAATGGCATCCTCCATCATTGCAATTATATGTGGTTTAGAAACAAATCAAGAGGCTACTATAAAGCCTCTTTTGCTTGGGCCATTGTACTGAAAAGTATTGGCTTTTTGTTTTCTGAAAGCCTCTGAATAGCTATTCATGAGCATCTGTAGCCAGCTGATTGCATCCCTGGAAAGGGCTATTATTTGGATGTTGTGTTTAGCCTCAAAAGGTCAGGAGTTAACAAAAAGGAAGCGCAAGTAATTTTTAATGTTATTTTTGCATCTTCTTGTCTTCTAACAGCAGCAAGATATACAGCATGTCCATTTATATGAGACGCACTTGTAAAGAGGATGAACCTAGAACCAGAAAGAGTTCTGAAAATTGTGTCTATGTGAGTGATGAATTTGAAAGGGCATGTGCTGATATCAGTTACAGAAAGAGGCCTTGTATTCTTAATAGTCACTAAGCTATTGTTATCTCCAAGATGTCTTGGAGATAGCTGGAATAGAAACAAGTGTCTTGTTCAATAATATTTGCTTGTATGTAGTCGTTAACATTCTCAATAAAAAGGAAATAGTGGAAACCCAGGAGACACTGAATTCATCCTAGAAAACCATCAGGCTACCCATCTCCTTTGCAGAGTTATCAGCATTATATGGCATTTTATTGTTTTCATGACTGAAAGGGCTAATTTTCACCAGCAAGTCTTTGTCCCTGAAAATATAGCAATAAAGTGTACTGACTCACAGGTTGAATTATCCATGCATTATATGGAATGTATATAGATATACTCGGCTCAAGCATGAAGAGAATTATTACCAATGATATGATCTACAATTTTATTTAGGTCAAAGTCTTGTATTATAAGGCTACTATTATAAAAATATTGCATTTATATTGTTCATTTGTAAAAAATATAGTTTCAATATTTATCTCAAACTCTCTATAATGTAGCCAGCATTATTATTATCCATTACTAATACATTATACAACTCCTCCTCCAAGGAAATCTGAGTAATGTGCATAGCCTGTCATAAATTAATGGAAAGGAAGGATTTGATTTCACTTGTTATTCCTAAATCCTAATTCATTTAGCCAGATTTAGCTCTGTGTCCAGAAAAGCCCCCAGTGGCCTAAATTATCCAGGAGCCAGCTCCCATAAAATCGCCTTGACAGGTAGGCAGGATTTTGTCCTTAATTCATGTTACAGTGAGTTGTTACAAATAATTATTGCAATTATCCTATTTCATTCCAATAATTAACAGTTTTACTTTTCTTTGAGGCATGCATTAATTTTACCGATTTAGATGTCTTTTGTATGTTGGTTTTTAACATAAAACAATGGAGTCCTAAGAAGGAGGGAGCCCTTTTGTATTATATCATGCCCCAATATATAAAGTAATATCTGTATTGCACTGCTATGACAGCTTAAGAGAAGGTAAACTATATATACTTATAAAATTAAAAATGGGAGATATTTATGAATCGTGGCATGAAAATTTGTGCATGTGATGATTTCAATTCTTTAATGAGACACAGTAAACAAATGTCATTTTGCAGCCCAGTTTGACTAATCTGTGTATCCCCTTACTCATAATTGTTAACACAGATAGGAATCTCCATTTCGGCCATTAGCACACTTCAGAAGCTCAAGAGCTACAGGCTTCACATAGCACATTAAGTGATTAAGCCCTATTCAGGTTGTCCTCAACTTACAACAGTTCATTCAGAGTTACAAGGGCACTGAATAAAGTGACTTACAACCATTCTTCAGCTACAAACTTTGCACTATCTCCATGGTCATGTGATCAAATTTAGATGCTTGGCAACCTATTCATGACCGTTGCTGTGTCCCAAGGTCATATGATCCCCTTTTGCGATCTTCTGACAAGCAACATCCATGGGGAAGCCAGGCTCACTTAACAACTGGGTTACTAACATAACAACTTCAGTGATTCACTTAGCAACTGTGGCCAGAAAGGTTGTAAAATGGGAGCAAAACTCACTTAACCAATGTCTCACTTAACAACAGAAATTTTGGGCCCAATTATGGCCGTAAGCCAAGGGCTCTCTGTAGTTTACAGCAGTGTTTCTCAACGGTGGCAACTTTAAGGCAGAATCAGAATAGAGCTGGACGGGACCTTGGAGGTCTTCTAGTCCAGCCCCCTGCTCAAGCAGCAGATCCTATATCATTTAAAGACAAGTGACCCTCATACAGGTGAAACCTGTCAAGGCAGGTGAACCTCAATTCCCCGGCTGCACCCAAACGACCGTGCAACCACCTCCACAATTGCAGGTTTTCTCTGCAAATACACCGAGGTTGCACCTTAACTTCCAAGGCTGCAGTTCCTCAGCAGAGGGCAGCATCCCGCTGACCTTGAATACTATATGCAGGGTCACAACAAGGGACGACTCCTCGAATCTAGGGATCGCCCAGGAAACCCCAAGCACGGAGGTTAGACGGGGAACCAGAAGGGAAACCACAGCCGACCCTTCCGCAGCGCTGCCATTGCCAAGGAAACGACCATGTGCGCGCCTGCAGAGTCACCGGCGAGTCTCCACGGGATGCTCCCCTGTGCATTTCCAAGCAGGCCGGGACTCCTCTCGGGCTCAACTAGGCCGACTTCAATCCGAGCCCCACATCCCACCCCACAGATGCAGAAGCCTATTTAGACGGAGACGTGCAGAACCGAGTGAAACCCCACCCCGGCCTTGCGCGTCCGGGAAAAGGACGAAGCAGCGGCTCCGGCAGGGGGCGCTGTGCGGGGTCTCTCTGCCCTGCCGGTTTTGACCCATCCCGGCCGCCTTAGTAGGAGCTCCCGGCCCGGCAGTCTCCGAGGCTGCTCGGCCTCCGGAGGGGGGGAGGGAAATCAGCGGAGCGGCGGCTCCCCCGAGGCCAGGCGCGTCGCCAGGGCAACCGCTTGCCCCCCTCCCCGCCAGGGATCATGTTCACCAGCACGGGCTCCAGCGGGCTGTGTAAGTATCCACGCGCCCGGGAGGAGGGGCGGCGCCACAGGGCAAAAGGTCGGGAGCTGCGCTGCACGGTGAGGCGGCTCCTCACCTTCCTCCTTAGCTCTCCCTTCAGGGGCTGAACCTCCATCCCGGAGCTCTTTCCCGGCTCGAGCGAGGCGCCTCTTGACTGCCGGGGGAGGGAGCTTTAAAGTCATATCGCCTTAGGGCAGGGGTCCCCAACCTTGGCAACTTTTAAGACTTACGGACTTCAACTCCCAGAATTCCTCAGCCAAGCCATGCTGCAGGTTGGATACCGTGCTGGCTGGCTGGGGAATTCTGGGAGTTGAAGTCTGTTAAGTCTTAACGTTGCGAAGGTTGGAGATGTCTGGCTTAGGGAATATCTCGAGCGCCTCTCGCGGGTCGGTTAAGTAAATAAGGGAGTCTCCAAAGTGGCTGGGGAATCCTGGGGGTTGAAGTGTACAAATCTTAAAAGTTGCCAAGTTTGGAGACACCCCCCTTACCCCGGGTTAAATTAATCTGAGTAGAGGTAAAGCTGCTCTCTCCGTTCTAGCCAGTCATGCTACTTTGCTGTATGCTTTCAGCGAAGATTTTGCTTGGTGTGCTTCCCTCAGGACTTAGAATACTTTATTGTCACTTTGAATGTACCAGGGGTGAAATCCAGCAGGTTCTAACAGGTTCTGGAGAACCGGTAGCGGAAATTTTGAGTAGTTCGGAGAACCGGCAAATACCACCTCTGGCTGGCCCCAGAGTGGGGTGGGAATGGAGACTTTGCAATGTCCTTCCCCTGAAGTGGGGTGGGAATGGGGATCTTGCAGTATCCTTCCCCAGGAGTGGAGTGGGAATGGAGATTTTGCAGTATCCTTCCCCTACCATGCCCACCAAGCCACGCCCACAGAACTGTTAGTAAAAAAAATTGGATTTCACCACTGGAATGTACACTAATCAGCATACATTAAAATGAAATTTTGTTGCATACAGCTGTCAAAGGGTCTTCACCTCCAATGTACACTACAATCTTGCAAGTGAAGAGAAACTTAGCTCCTTATCTTTCTCTTCTTTATAATTGAATTTATACTAAGTTAGTCCTCGACTAAAACCACAATTGAGCCCAAAATTTAAGTTGCTAAGTGAGATATTTGTTAAGACAGCTTTGCCCCATTTTACAACTTTTCTTGTCACAGTTGTTAAGTTAGTAACCTGGTGGTTAAGTGAATCTGGCTTCCCCATTGACTTTGCTTATCGGAAGGTTGCAAAAGTTGATCATAGGACCCTGGGACACAGCAACTGTCATAAATATGAATCACTTGCCAAGCGTCTGAATTGTGATCACATGCCCATGGGGATGCTGCAATGGTCATAAGTGTGAAAAAGGCTCATAAGTCACTTTTTAAAGTGCTGTTGTAACTTTGAACTGTCATTAAACAAACTTGTAAGTTGAGGGCTACCTGTACTCCATCTTTTCACTCTCTGACCATCCAGGTGCAAAATGTAAACAGAAGAGTTAGAATTAAAATCTAACATTTAAGTAACAAACACTTGGTGCAAGAGATGTGGTTTCCCCAACTTTCTAATTTTGAGAGTCAAGTGGGTGACCCTAAGGGTTTCTCAACCTTAGCAACTTTAAGAGGTGTGAACTTCAACACCCAGAATTCTCTAGCCAGCTTGCTAATGCAAACCTATTCTTGCATACCAGTAATGGAATGTCCAATAACAAGGGTATCTTCACTTTTACTAGTAGTGTTTTAGTGGGAGAGATAAGCAGTCCTAAGCTGTAAAGTCAGGCCTTATAGAGCAGTATGGATACTTTGAATTGTAATCAGCAGATAACTGCCTGCTAGGACAGATCTTTCAGTGCGGTATCATGATACTTCCTGTATACTGTATCTTGTCAGCAACCTAGAAGTTGCATTTTGCACAAGTTGTATTTTCTGGATCAACTTCAAGGGAAGCCCCATGTGCATTGCTATAATCAAGTTGGGTGATAACAAGGGCTGGATAACTGCTGCTATAATCTGGCTGGTTCAGGAAAGATTGTAGTTGGCATTCTGATCATAGTTGTGTAAACATGCTCCTCATCACAGCTGCAAAATCCAGTTACAGCTGGGATCAGGGAGTACATTCAAACTGCAAACTTGCTTCTGCTTGGAGAATACATACTCATGAACATACTCACACCGAGTAAGAATTCCATTGATTCCAAAGTCCAGCTTTTCGTTACCAACACTACTGGTTCTTTTTGGATATAAATTCTATTGAATAAACCTATTCCGAACAATCATGCATAGGATTGGACCAGCAGGGATTAAAATAAATTTTAACTGTGACCTAATTAAATTGCCTAGTGAATGGTTTTAAGCCACTATAAATTGCTATGTTTGCATATGTACATTAAACCATGCACCATGGTTTAGAAACCATAGTGACAGGGTCCACAAAACATTAAGCCAAAACCAGATTTAACTATTTTAAAATTCAATGTGGTGTATGAATCAAGCCTGTGACTACATTTTCATGACTCACTGAATACAATTGCACAACACCTTTTACTGGACTATTTCTAGCCCAACATGTTGAACAAATGTAGAAACCTGCCAGTTCAGGTGAGAAACAGTTCTAATACCTTTCCCCAATTAAATGATATTGTACAACCCAGGAACCTAGTAACTTTGAGCTGGTTGTACACTGCTCAATTAGTTCTCCAGGTAAATTAAGCACAAGTGAAAAGTGGCTAACAATGCAAGTTAAAAACTAGAAGCTAAGTGCTCTGTAGAAAAAGAACAACTATATTTCTACAATGTGGTAATTAGTTGAACTTAGCAATGGTCAGTTTGATATTTCCTTTTTTGATAATTATCTTGAGCTAAAATAAACCACAATGTTCATATAAGAATGTGGTTTATTAAATAGAATGTCTTCAAGTTTCTGCATGGTTAGTGAATTGTATATGAGCCCAGTGCTTATAGTGTATTTACAGTGATCTAAATTGGACCAGTTTTAAAAAAAGCATTCATGAAGATTTGAAAGAAATCTTAATACATGATGCTTTCATAGAAAGTGCTTGTTTATGCAAATAACATATTATATGAGGATACAAATTCACTAAGTCTATGTTCATATCCACAAGCAGAGCTTGTTTTAATCCTGATTTGTTGCAAATGTTGCAAATGTTGTTGAAAAATTGAAAATGAAAATGAAAATTTGTTGAAAATGTACAAGAGCTAAGCTCATGTGTTGCAGTAAGGCAGGGATGTCAAACTCGTGGGCCAGATGTGTCACGCACTGGCCACGCTCACCCCCGTTTTAGCGAAGGGTAAAAAAGTGGTGATACATCACATGACAATGTGTCATTGCGAGTTTGACACTTCCGCACTAAGGCTAAACAAGAGCAAAATAAGAATAACTTGGTTTACACATTGTTTTCAAGTAGAGCTTATTCATTAACATCTGTATTTAGATCTCTTAATATCAAAACATCCTTTCTTAAATAGAGGGGAAAATGTTTTTTTTTTCCTCTTGGAATTATTAACATTGATGCAGTTTTAAGAAGCATTTTTTAAATAGTATTTTTCTACCAGTCTGTCATTTTTATACCATTCTAAGAAATCAAAATATATCTATTGCAATATTTCTTAAATCTTTTAAAATGGCATGTATTCATACTTTAAAATGTTTTTTCTAATTTTGAGAGTGCATAACAAAAGGACAATTTCTCTTTAATTCAGTTGTTTAATTTATACAGTGGAATAGTGCTATTCTAAAATGGAATTCATGCCACTTTCATTTATATGAGAGCTGAATTTGAGTTATTCAGTGGGTAGAATGTGGAATGTTGTATGTACAAGAGGTTAGAATATAACAATCAGAATGTTAAATTGCAGAATTTTGCATAAATTATTAAATACATCTATATTTCTGTATACAAACTATTAACAAAAATTATTTTAATAAAGTAACAGGAAGTAAAACATCAGATAAGAACCATGGTGTTGTAATAGGTAGAGCATAAGGTATGCATAAATAAAGAAGTAAAATTAACCTGGAAATATTGCATTCATGGTAGAAATTAATATGGATATTTATCATTTCTTCTCACCTTCCACATTAAGCCTATGATTAGATGTAAATCCCATAAGCTACTTTTTCTTCCCAGTTAATTAAAGGAAGCCGGGGTATTCATTATGTATAAAAATGCCCCAAGCCACAAAGGAACTTTCCAGGCATTCTTAACAAATGGAAATGGTAGCTGGCTATAACCCAACATTTTGCCCAAAGGAATGCTACTAATCAAGAAAAATGAAAACAAAACAATTTAGAAGAGCGATTTGGATCCTCCAGTGTTGCTTGACAGCATAGCAAAGAACAATCGCAGTGATTTTGTGATTAGGTGAGCCTTCCTTGGCAGTTATTTTGCAAGAGCTCCAAAAACATGTTCTCAAATTCCTAAACACACTCACTGACTTCCACAAGTAACTTATTCCTACCTTAATGACTAGTGGTATATTTGGAAAGACAATAGATAGATACTGCTGTCAGATCTCTTCCTTGTTTTACAAGTGATCCGCCTCATTCAAATTACAGCATCTCAGACGGGTAGTGAGGACATTGGGGAAGAAAGGAAAAACATACCATTTACTCCATTGTAAATGTCTCCCCCCCCCTTAATTCATCTTGTTTTTTTTCAGAGCCCAGGTTGATTTCGCCTAACAATTCACTTATCTTACAGAAAGAATAGAAATTCATTCTTACAGTAGAGCATGCTTTGATAATAAATTTATTCTGTGATCTCTGTGCTGTTGGGCTCCTCCCCCCACCCCAATGCTTATGCTAAAAACATTGAGTAGTCATCTATTTGAAAATAACAATATTGTAAGCAATTTATTTTCCTTTAAATCATATTTTAAAAGTACATCAGGTATTTTGTTAGTACACTTTACAAAGCTCTAACTTGCTTGTGTGCTTCAGTCTGATTTCTTCTAATAGAAGAAAAGAAAGAGAAAGTTTTTATATTTCCAGGGCATTCCTATAGGAGACTGGAACTTTGTTTCTTGCAGACACTCTCTGGATTCAGGCACCAGGTTGGACTGAATTTTCCCAGAGAAACCCAAAATGCCACATCATTTTCTGGCTTAGTTTGAGTATTTGAAATGAATTAGGTCGTTCCTGCATGCGCCTCGTTGGTTTTGTTTTCACAACTTGAACCAAAATTTGGGTAAAATGAGGTGGAAAGTTATTTTAGTAATCTAGTAGATTTAATTGTAAACATAAAATGTTTTTTTTAAAACTTAGTATACAGCCTGATTGCTTTTTAAACTGTTTTAAGAATCCTCACCGTAACTTCATTGGATATATGTGTATTTTGTTTTCTTTTGAAGATAAAGCACCTCTGTCAAAGGGTCTATTAATAATACCAAGCATCTTCTCGCTACTGCTGGCTCTACTCTTTCAGCATTATCAAAAGTTCTTTACCTACAATCTGCAAGCAGTAAAAGAGGAATTTCAGGTAAGCAGCAATTGATTTATAATATTGTGACATGGGATAAACATGGGGCTGGTATTCTTTAATTTTTTTATATGAGCTGTGGTGTGAATATTTTGAACTTTAAATTTAGAATGATGTAGCACTCGATACCACAACCAATAGCAGAGGAACATTCATGTAAAATGTAGATATGTGAGAAATTAGTTGTGGCTGCAGTGTGGGAAGGAGGAAGTCTTTATTTTCTTGTTAGTTTTGTTAACAAAACTGTGTTCTGTTAAAACTCTTCATAATTAAAATCGGATAAAGTTTTTTTCAAAAGTGATGAGGTACATCCAAAGGTTATGCTGGTAACTGTGGAGAAAAACATTGCTCCAAATGTATTTCAGGTGAGGTGAACTTGAGTTGACAGTAGTAATACTGCTAGATGTTGTGCTTTATACATTATACTAGGCGGCATCTCTAAACGCAGGACACCAACCCCTGTACATCTTAATTCATGGGGTTATGATCTATTCCAGACAGACTTTTCAGCAAAATTCCTGGCCTAAAAATAAGTGTATATTTGCACACAAATTTTTGGGAGAAAAAAAGCTTATTCTTTGTTGTGTATTAAAGCTGAAAGGCTGGGACTGTGGGCTATTTTTATTTTTCTCCCACCCTCAAATTGATATAGAGATAATGAAATTATATTAATACTTGTGACAGTGACAACTTGTGCCTTTAAGGAGAAGTCCCAAGTATTTAGAAAGTGGTTAGAAGGAACAAGTGTTGAGGAATTGGAGTCTTCCTAGTGCCAGTTTCTTGTCGTCTCTCAATAGTGGTTCATTTTACTTTCTTTCTCTCTTCCCAGCTGGACTTAACTTAGAATGCTTTGGACTCTGGATGAATGAAAAATGATGCATACAGCAAATGGGGGAAAATCCTCCTTGTTTCATATCAGACAGAGATCTGTTCCCTCTCCCTGCTGTGTTTATAATTGAAACAGAAAAAAATTATAGGATCAGCTGCATATAGTAGGGAGCTTAGTCTGAAAAGAATATTTGATATTAGGACTGCAAGGAAAAAAAGTTAACATGGGCAAAATATTTATAGCTACCTTTAAGCATACTTTAAAGCCTGAGTAGCTGAAGCATGCTAACATTCTTCATTTACTTGTATCTTTAAATGGAGATGAAAGGTAATACTTGTTCCAACAATAGCACTGTCCTTGCTAGAAGGATTCTTTTTGACAACTATTAACAGCATGTTGTGACCTTGTGTGTTTTACACCTTTACTGTGCTATGGGCTGGTGGTTTTTGGAGTATAGGAAGAACTTCTGTAGGTAAATGGAGCAGAACTATAACTGGAAAATGTGACTTCAGTTAACATATAATTTATAAAGTGAAGGTTATAAGGAAAAGAATCTATTCATATAAGCCCTTTCTTTTGGTAAAATAGCTTAGGGAAAAGAGTAGTTGACATTTGGAAGCTACATTTTGTCATATTTCATTATGACACAAACATGTTTTGGAACTGGCAGGAGATGGAATCTGCCTACTGTCCCTGGACAGAAATGGGGGAGCTGAATTTTAGTGACAAACCACCAGCAATGCTGATGCTACTTCCTGCCATTTCATGAGAGAAAACTAAACGTTGGTGTTTAAACATATATTTACTTCATTGTCTTCAGAAATACAGAAGGAAATTTGTAGAAAAACTTGCCCACCCCCTCATTGCAATATCATCCTGCCTGCTGCACCTCCCCCCCTTTTTTTAAAGTTCATCTCCCAGCTGCTAAAGTTTGCCTGCTATATATTAAATTTCCATAAAATGCAAGTGGAAACTATGACTACTGTTTATTACCTTTTAGATTTGGAGGCTGCTCTGTGGACGAACAGTGTGTCTTGATCTTAAAGACACTTTTTGCAGTAGTTTACTTATCTACAACTTCAGAATATTTGAAAGGCGATATGGCAGTAGAAAATTTTCAGTAAGTTCATGTTCTGGTTTTGTTCTCCTATTTCATAAGTAATATACTTATATTCCTTATTTGTCTTTCTTTTTCCTATTCCAGTATTTAACACAACAGGTATGCAAAAATTCTAGGGTTTTTATATTTCCATTTTAAAATGGACTTTTAAATAATAAAGTAAGCAAAATGATTACTATTTTATTAGCTCAATTAATTTAATTTTAGAAAAAGGACACCTTCTAAAATATTTTGAACCTCACACAAAATGTGATAGTGGAAAAGCTTAGTCTGCTTGTAAGCTAATGTTTGCTGAGCTATGCAAATATATCATGAGAAAAACAAGCGGAAGCCCAGAAATGTGTGTGGAACCGTACTATGGAAACCTTGCCCCCAAATTCATGATGCTCCAGTCTTGTTTACTTTTTGCAATGCAGTAAAAACACCCATTTTGGGGAGCTCTAAGTGGAAATAATGAACCCATGCTGCTTTTATAAATTATTTTTTGCAATACAGATAGTCCTCAACTTAACACAACTGGGATCAAACTCTTGGTTGTAGAGGATAGTAGTTAAGTGAGATGTCATCTAATTGGTTCACTCAAGAATTGCAGTCATTAAATCATCTTGCAGGTCATTAAGCAGACAAGAGTCTCAAATAAGAAACATGGGGATGGCTTGGGGATAGGGAGACTATGGGAGCCCAGTAAGTAACTCTCCGCTTAAGAGCTGAAATTTAATTTAATTTAATTTAATTTAATTTAATTTAATTTAATTTAATTTAATTTAATTTAATTTAATTTAATTTAATTTAATTTAATTTAATTTTTTAATTAATTTAATTTAATTTAATTTATCGAATTTCTATGCCGCCCAACTCCCAAGGGACTCTGGGCAGTTTACAGCAAAAAATAATACAACAAAGAACATAGGAAAATTATTAAAAAACATTTTAAAAACATTTTAAAAACATTAAAAGCCCATGCACACCATTCATGGTCGGATCTTGCAAGATTGCAACAGCGAGATCAACGGCTCCAGGCCTGCCAGAAAAGCCAGGTCTTCACTGCTTTCCGGAAGGCCAATAGGGTGGGGGTTGTCCGGATCTCAGGAGGTAACTGGTTCCAGAGAGCTGGGGCAGCCACAGAGAAGGCCCTCCACTGCGGGCCCGCCAGCCAGCATTGTTTAGCTGACGGGACCTGGAGGAGACCAACTCTGTGGGATCTTACCGGTTGCTGGGAGCTATGCGGTAGAAGGCGGTCTCGAAGATAGCCTGGCCCTGAGCCATGTAGGGCTTTAAAGGTAATAACCAACACCTTGAATTGCGTCCGGAGACCAATAGGGAGCCAGTGCAGCTCGGGGAGAATTGGTGTAATGTGGGTGTATCTAGGTGCACCCACGACAGCTTGTACAGCTGCATTCTGGACCAACTGTAGTCTCCGAACACTCTTCAAGGGTAGCCCTATGTAGAGCGCGTTGCAATAATCTAACCGTGAGGTGACAAGGGCATGAGTGACTGTGAGGAGAGCCTCCTGATCCAAGTGGAGTCGCAATTGGTGCATCAGGCGAACCTGTGCAAAGGTCCCCCTAGCTACAGCTGCAAGATGTTGCTCTAAACTTAGCTGTGAGTCTAGGAGGACACCCAAATTGCGAGCTTGTTCTGAGGGGGGACAATCTCCCCCCCCAGAACCAAGGATGGACAGTCGACATAGTCTTCAGGAGGCAATACTCACAGCCACTCGGTCTTGTGTGGGTTAAGTCTGAGCCTGTTGACTCCCATCCAGACCCTCACAGCCTCCAGGCACTGGCACAGTCCTCCCTGTTAAAATCGAAGCAGAATTTTCAGCCCCTGAGCAAAGAGAAACTTGCACATGGCCTGCACTGGACCCCTTAGGCTCTCTTCCAGCCCCCTGAACTCCTTACCTTACTGTGTTCCCTCTCTGGTCATGGGCTGAAAATCCTGCTTGGATTTTGGCTCCTCCTTGCCCTGGGAACTGGCTGAAAGAGCTCCGTGCCCAAGGACTTCAGCCTTGTGCCTGCTTGGATTTTGGCAGAGTTCTTTCAGACTTCTTGGCAGAGAGCAGTAGATTGCAATCTTCTTTGACTTCCCCATTGATGGTGATCATACGATCAGGTGCTTGGCAACCTGTCATAAGTGCAGACAAACTGCTAAGCACACAGATCACAATCATGTGACCGTGGAGAGGTGGTGCAACAGTGAGAAGTGCTTTATACCAGGGGTCCCCAACCTCTGGGCTGTGGCCCACTACCAGGCCGTGAGCTGTTCAGAAGTGGACCGTGGAAGTGGCAGGTGAGCACATGTGCATGCATCCCCACTTGTGTGAGCAGCAGACAAGCAAATGTGTGCAAGCTCCCATTTGTGTGAGTGGCATGCGTGTGTGCCTATCACTTGTGCAAATGGAACTTGCACACTCATGCGCATGCTTGCCCACGACTCGCACGGAACCATTCCTCCCTCCTCCCCCCCCCAACCGGTCTGCAAAGCCAGAAAAGTTGGGGAACTCTGCTTTATATATTGTAAAGCACCCTTTCCAAGGCTGTCATTAATTTGGATTGTCATAAGGTGAACCATCATATGTTGAGAACTACTTGTATAATGTTATACATATATTTCATTGTTTTTATTTGTATCTAATATATAGACTAGCACATAGCAGCCCGAATGAATAAACGGCCATTTCTATTCTAAGGTAGCAGTTGAAGATGCATTCTCTGTGTGAGTGCATGAGTATGTACTGACGTGTATAAATTGGGTCTTGGTTTGCTCCTGTTCTATCCAGAAATCCACAAGACGATACCTTTAGAGATCAGTAATAAAAGTCCTGGACAGCAGGAACTTGGATAGAAATCAGCTAACAAAGCAATTTGCTCCTAGGTTTTACGAGTTACGTATATCCTCATCTAACGTGTATCACTTACCTCAAGTGCTGTCTGCTTGAGAATAGGTGTAAATATTCAAAACCAGCTCTCATTTGTTGAACTTCATATTCTATTTCTGATGTGTTTCTGGGGAGGAATATGTTGATACTTCCTAAAAAGGAGGAAGGCTTGTTTGTGACGTTACTGTATTGTAATTGCTTTTTGTTGATTCCAGGCCAGAGTATAGTGCTCCATTTTCAGGGGCTCTAGATTATTATTATTTTCTTAGATTAGTAATTATTATGATTAGGTCCTGGCCTGATGTCAGTTTATGCAGATAATGTACTTTGTAGCTCTCCGTGTGTCTTCCTGTGATCCCCAGGTTTCTCTGAAGCCTTCCTTACAAAGCTATGCTGTGCTTATCAGTTGAAACCAGGGCTCATGACCATTTTGTAGACTAATTCCATATATTTGTTATAATTCATAAGCAATACTGTTACCTTTTTCTTTAATTAGCATTAAAATAATTCAATTAGCTTTAAAAGCACTGTAGTTTTAATAAATTTCTAGATGAAAATGGCATGTAACAAAATAATACGCTACTTAAATATTTTGTGAACAGTGTCGATCATGGTTGTACAACCGTTTGGCTTGCCAGGGCGCATTGAGTGAACAAGAGTTGTCTTGTTGCATATAAAATATATAGTTAATGTATATAAATAACAAATTTCCTTTATTTTTTATTATCTTGTGGGGCCACATTACTAGCTATCCAGGGCCGCATGTGGCCTGTAGGCCAATTGTGATATAGATATAACTTACCTGGACAGTCCATTCCATTCCATTGTGAATGCCATGGAAGAGTCACAGATAATTTATGCATTGTATGTGAAATTAATGCATAATATATATCTGGTTGCAGAATTGTGATTCTCAGAAAATGAAAACTCTCGTCATCAGCCATTCATTTTTGTCTGACCCTCGGTCACTCTATGGAGCAGCACTCTCTATGCCCCTCTGCCTTACTCTGTCTCCTTCAGATCCTTCAGGGTCATCCCAGTGTCATCTTTTGTAGTGTCCAGCTAGTGGGTGCTAGGATGGCCCCTTCTCCTTTTTCCAGTGATCATTCCCAGCATGATTGACTTTTCAAGTGAGTCAGCTCTCAGTACATGACCAAAGTATGACAGCCTCTGTTTGGCAATTTTGACTTCAAGTGATATTTTTGGTGAGATTCGGTCTAGGACCATGATGGCGAACCTATGGCACGCGTGCCACAGTTGCACATGGAGCCATATCTGTGGGCACACGAGCGTTACCCTAGCTCAGTTCCAGTGTACATGCGCGCACCAGCCAACTGATTTTCGGGCCTTCTGGGCCCATCGGAAGTTGGGAAATAGGCCATTTCCGGCCTCCAGGGGGGAGGCTGTTTTCGCCCTCCCTAGGCTCCTAGAAAGACTCTGGAGCCTGGGGAGAGTGAAAAACAGGCCTACCGTGCCACCACATGCCAAAAGTGGGGGGAGCATGGGGGAGTGTGCACACATGTGCGGGAGGGCGGGGCGCGGGGGGCATTGAACTATGGGTGTGGGCACAGCGTGCCCTCCCCTCCCCCACGCTCCCCACGCTTTTGGTACGCAATGGCAAAAAGGTTAGCCATCACTGGTCTAGGACTTCTTTTTTATTTTTGCAGTCCATGGGGTGAGTTGCAGTGGCACAGTGGTTAGAATGCAGTACTGCAGGCTACTTCTGCTGATCGCTGGCTGCCAGCAGTTTGGCAGTTCGGGTCTCACCAGCTCAAGGTTGACTCAGCCTTCCATCCTTCCGAGGTCGGAAAAAGGAGGACCCAGATTGTTGGGGGCAATATGCTCACTTTGTAAACCGCTTAAAGAGAGCTGTAAAGCACTGTGAAGTGGTATATAAGTCTAAGTGCTATAGCTATTGGTATTGCATAATAGTCACCTCCAGCACCACAGTTCAAAGGTGCCCACCCTTCTCCTATCTACCTTTTTCGTAGCCATAAGTTAACAATTGGAAACAACGCCGAAGAGTTGGAGCCACCGCCAAGGAGAAGAAACCACCTTCTGGTTGGGCAAGCAACTGTTCCTGGCTATTGGATGGAGGCGTGGCCAGGAGCTGGAAGATGCCTATAAAAAGCTCTGGAAGGCAAATGCTCCCAGCACTGACTTTTCCACGGACTTGCTATAAAGGACTTTTTGCAGACTCATTCTGGGCCAAGACTTTGGCCTAAATAAACGCTGTTTTCTGGTTCCAGTGCGAGTAAGCTTCTGTTTTGTTTAGGTCTGGTACTTGAACCATTGAGACTTTCTTTTCTTGATGTTAACAAGCAGTCTGAATTTTTCACTTTCATCTTTGACTGTCAGGATTAACCACTCCACATCCTCCTTGCTTTCCACAAGCAATATTGTATCATCTCCTCAACCCCAATGGTAGATTCCTCCAGATGTGCATTTCTCATAACTATTTTTGTGTACATGTTAACTAGTATAGGTGACAGCTGTTCTGACCTAGGCTTCCTGATACAATAAAAGCACACAATGAGTCCCAAAAACCCTCTTTTTATTTCCACAGCTGTGAGTTTTGCTCATTCAGAACCTGTTCATTCCCAATCTGTTCATTCACAGAGGAGTCCCAAATAATTGTAAAGAGTCCGACAGAAATCTGCCACAGTTCTTTGGCATAATGGTGATAAACACCCACCTTTCTCTCCCTTGACATGCTGCCAAGACGTAATTGGCAATTAACTTTGCAAAGCCACATGGAACACAGAGTCAACACAGAGCTGCAGTCTTGAAACCGGCCAGCACGAACAACAGTTGCTACCTGCAAAGGGCTCACGTGTCTTTGCTCCTCCTTTATGTCTTATGGGAGGGGCCAATCATCTCCAAGCTCTACTCCTGAGTCATCCCTTTTGTTTTAACTGTTCTTGCCTTCAGGCAGCTCTGCGCATGCGCGCACTGGGAACAGGCTCCCCTTATTCCTCTGCCTTGCTGATGTCTGGCTCTGGAGGCTCCAGAGTCCACACATAACTCCCAGGTGGCCCTGGCCCCATCTCTGCCTCCGATGCAGAGCCCTCGTCCAAGCCTTCCCCAGACTCCAGGACTGGCCCATGTTCCTCCCAGCCTCCTCACTGTCCGACTCTGCTGCCAGCTCCGCAGGCCGCTGATGGACCACAACAACAGGATGCCACCTTGCCACAAGTGCATTTTTCAATTCTGAACTATTTTGTGTGTCTGTATTCCTGGCTGCCTGATCACAGTAGAATGAATGAATGAACAGGATGTGGTCTGGTGATATTCTCAGTTCTTTGAGGTAGTTCCAGAGCTTGTCATGGTCAACACAATCAAAGGCTTTTGTGTAGTTAATGGAGCACATGTAGAGATCTTTTTGTATGCCTTTGCTTTTTCCATCATCCATGTGTTCTCCCTTTCTGAAATCCTGATTTTACATTAGGATGTTCCCCCTTGGTGGTTGGATTCAAACGTTGCTAGATTATCTTCAAGAGAATTTTACTTACCTGTGATATCAAGGCTAAGGTTTGGTGGTTGAAACAGTCTTTCATATCACCTTTCTCTGGTATTGGGTCTTCTGACCCAAGTCACACAGGCAAGACAGGTCTGTTTATTGCTCACTTACCACAGTGACAAACCACCCACCAATGGAGATGGTGAAGTTTCGCCCAAGCCCTCAGGTTTTCCTGGATTCACATACTAGATTCCAGCCAACCCACAAGGCAAGAGGGAGGTAACAGTATCAATAGGTCCAGAGTTCCAACAATCAAAACACATTCCAAAAGTGCAAAGTCTGAGAGACAAGTCCAAGTCCACAAGTGTCCAAGGTTCAGAGTTCAAAAACATAGTCTGAAGTTCAAGGAACAGGATCCAGGAATGCCGGGAAGAAGCACATCCAAAATGAACAGGTGTTTCCAACAAACTCCTTCCCTCCTCGTGAAGAGGGGCAGGGCTGCTTCCTTGCAAGCAGCCTTGCTGACAACCTCTGTGCCTCTGTCCGTATCAATTGATACGTATTGCCATAATCTTATCACTGACTGCTTGAAAACTTTTTATGGTTCTTTTTAGTATGAAACCCACTGCTCTTCTTCTGATGGTATCATTGCCAGAGTAGTATACGATATGACCATCGCAGTTGAAGAAGCCACAGCCAGTCCAATGAACTTCAGCTAATGTCTAGTATATCAATGCGACCCTGGACAGCTAGTAATGCAGCTCCACAAGATCATAAACTTTTAACATTAATACAGTATGTGATTTATATATGTTAACTATATTATATCTTTTATATGTGATCCAAGATCCAACCCTCATCACTCAATGAAGCTGAGGCAAGCCAAAAAGTTGGACACCCATGATTTAAATGTTGATGCCATTAATGTTGCTATTATATTCTCTTGATATTTATTAACTCATTATTATTTTCCACTACAATCCTGTAGGACTTTCGTGGTGCACAGATAATGCAGCATTAAGACTTATTGCCTAATATGACTGACCATTAAGCAAAATCAGATACAGTTCCTGCAATAGAAATGCTCATCAGTAGCCTGAGCATTCAAATTTGCAGGTTCATTACTGCAAAACCTTTGTTCGGTATAGTGTAGTCTAATTTTGCAATCCTAATTTCTCCACATAAATGTTGTATTTTTAGATTTAGTTCTTTGGGTACCGTCCATTTTCTGTGAGCATGCGGAATAGGTATCCTATGCAATATTTTATTTTTAATGGATATTATTTTTGTTATAAAAGATGGACAGTTTGTGATTATGAATTTTTATTTTTATTTTTTCAGTCATTTTTACTGGGTTCCTGGATGCTATCAGTGATGTTTGATTTTGTCCTGGTAGAAGCTATTGAATATTCTTTTGGCCTCAACATCAGCAGCTTGCCTTCAGGATTGTAAGTTTACTGTTAAGAGACATTCATATCTCTTTGTATCTTAAATATTATTTCCAGGGCTATTGAAATTTATAAAAATGAAATGTTTGATATTATTAATTTGGGTTGTGTGAAATTCAGCCATTCAGCAACTGAATGTTCTTTAGACCTATAGAACACTCTGTTCTCTCTTTAGAATTTCAGAACTTGCTGCTCTGGAGGTAGTTTAGCAGTTCTCATAGATAAATCTTCTGAGTCAGAAATAATTCAATCTCCTGGACACAACAAGTCTGTTAGGGGCTCTGACCAACATCTGGCTTGGAAGTTTTATTTCTGGAAACTGCCAATTTTCCCCAGAATGGTAAGGTCTGGAGAAGCTTTGGCCTCATCCAGAAGAAAAATGAAATTCTTCAGAATGCTGCATTCCCAAATAGGAGTTTAATGTATCTGTACTGCTAATGATTTGAATATGTGTGGCATGTTCATTGATAGATGTTCTGCTTTTCCCCTTTGCTGTCCACATATTTATTTGTTTATCAAATTTGTAAGGCCACCAGGCAGTCTCTCAGATCTCCTCTGAAGAGTCATCTGATTCTTTGGAGCAGATTTAGGGTAAATACACATAAAATGGCACAAACTCGAAGTCAGATTGACTGAGCTATTAGTTGCCAACCAGGCTGCAAACTTTTTAGTGCATTGCCTTTTTATTTTCTAGAATATGTTTATTTTATTTTATTTTATTTTATTCCACACACACACCTTACCCCCATGAACTCCCATTGGGGTTTAAGAGTTAAATTCAGCACTGTGTTTAAGGCTGTATTTATTTACCTCCATACATGTCTCTAGAGTAACATTCCCCAATCTGGCATCACCTATGAGTGTTATATTACAAGCTTCTTTAAATTCACAGTAAGTGGACTGATTATAAAGAGGATATAGTTGTATTTGACAGTGACAAAAACAGCTGATAATTTTCTATTATACTGACAGTCATTTGAGGACACATAGGTAATTTGATGGTAAACTGGTGACACCTGTATTGTATCAGAATTTGAAATACCAAAGGCTTCTCTGTGAGTTTTTTTATTGCTTCACCAGCAAGGTTCTGTTCTAGGATGGAAACCCTTTACATTTAATAGCTTGTTAAGTGTTATTTAACTTTTCTTACTCAGAAGAAATGTTTTTATTTGATGAATCGTTAGTCATTTTCTTCCATGCCTCAGTTTTAGCTGTGCTACATTAAGTATCACTTTCTTTATTTTTTCATATTACTTGGCAGGAGAAAGAGCTTCGGTGTTCAGTTCAGCATTACTGCAGATGCAAAGTACCTTTAGCCCAGACATTCCTCTCTCTGCTGTTAAATAATAATTATAACAAAATCTATATTATAAGCAACTAGATACACAGTAACATATGCAGTGTGCAATAACACTTTAATATGCATTGGCCTTGGCACTTATGACTTAAAATAATATCTCCCCAAGTTAAACACATCTCCGTATCATTTTATTGCCACTAATACAGAAATAACTTGCTATTGCCTTTTTCTGAGATTTTTTCCGCCCTATTTTTCAATAAGATTTACAACAGTGAATTTCCTGATGGTCCCCCGATGTACAAACTAAATCAGTCTGACCATAGCTTTGAGGAGATAGCCACCTATTTTGACAAATGAAAGCACATGTAAATGATTCCCAGAAGTAATTTAAAACTCATTAGCATGTTTGGGGATCTTTTCATTTTTGCCTTAAGAGATGTACATGTTAGACTTAAATTTTATTAAAGATGAAACGCTTGATTTAGAAATACGGAATTCCCACCCCCTCCCAATACTGTAAACATTGAAATCATGTGATTTTGAACAATGTTTTTTTTTTGTATCACTCTCTTTTCTTAATAAATTGTGCAATTCATAGAAGTTATGGAGTTGAAACCTCAGTAGCAAAAATAATGCTAGAATAAATAATGAAGGAAAATGGAATATATTGTTGTGGTCTGCCAGCGGCCTGCAGAGCTGGCAGCAGAGTTGGACAGTGAGGAGGTTGGGGAGGAACATGGGCCAATCCTGGAGTCTGGGGAAGGCTCAGATGAGGCAGAGAGGGGGCCAGGTAGTTAGTTATGTGCTGCCTCCAGAGCCTCCGGAATCTGACATCAGTGAAGCAGAAGAACAGTGTGAGCCTGTTACCAGTGTGCACATGCGCAGAGCTGCCAGAAGGCAAGAATAATTCAGAAAAAAAAGGGTGACTCAGGAGTAAGGCTTGGAGATGAGTGGCCCCTCCTATAAGACATAAAAGAGGAGCAAACGGACGTGAGCCTTTGCAGGAAACAATTAGTTCATATAATCAGTTCAAGCTCTGAGAAGTCCATTTGTGCTCAGTTTGGCCTTGCAAAACTAATTGACAATTAGGTCTCTGGCAGCGTTTCAAGGGAGATAAAGGTGGGTGCTTATCAACATTACCCTGAAAGACTGTGTCAACAGCAGACATCTGTCGGAATCTTCACAGACTGTTTGTGAATTATTACGGGCTGTGAATGACCATAATTCATAGCCATCTCAATAAAAGAGGTTTTTTGGGACTAAGATTGTGATCTATGCTTTCTCAGGAAGCCTAAGTCAGAACATATATTAATATTAAAGAGGTAGAAATTATTATGCATTTCAACCTAGAATAATTTCTTTTTCAAAGAAAAACAATTTAAAAGAGGAATAATAAAAACTCCCTTTTAACATAATACATTTATTGGAAATGTGAGTTCATTCTAAGCTTTACGTAATGCATGTATATGGTATCACTTTGAAATGTATTTATATTGTATTGTATTGCTTTACTTACTTTATATGATCTCACTGTTAATATTACTTAATGAATGCACACTACCAGATCGTATACTTTTTCTCCGAACACTTCGAAGATAATTACGATAAAGCATAACACTGATAACTCGGGCCTGAAATTGCTTAGAAACTAGGTAGTAAAGGATTATATCTAGACATGTGCTGAGATTCATGAGGAAGGTGGTAAATGCTCCCCAAGGATTGTAGCTTGCTTCTCCATTTTGCAGCATCAGAAATGTAAAACAAATGTGAAAAGGCACAAAACATACAAGCACTTGGGTAATTAGTGTTACAATGATTCTGATCGATCTTTCTTTAGCCTTTGGTTTCAGCTTGGAAGTTCTTCCACGAATTATACTATAAATGATGACTAGATAACAACCAAGCATATTAAATATGGGAATCAAGAAAAAAAATATTAACCGACAAAAATTTAATACATTGACTTCCTTTAGGTAGATAATATCCATCATCTTTATGCAGGTAGTGAAATTTGAAGTTTTGTCTGGATCAGAATATAAGAAAAGCAGTGGAGAAGTTGTCACAAGAGTTAAGATCCAAAGTGTTGTGCAAGCCATCAGAGCTTTGTTTGTGTTCTTGAGTTCCTTGGCATATTTGGGTTGAACTACAGCCAGACATCTATCAATGCTTATAAAAGCTAACAACCATATTGCAATGCTGGGGTAAAAAATAGTGAAAGCACTAAGAATCCGACAGAAGACATCTCCAAAGATCCAAGAGCGTTTCCCATAATAATGCATTCGAAAAGGCAAGGTGAATATAAGCAACAAGTCAAGCAACGCAACATTCATCATGTAGATAGTTATAGTTGTTTTCTTCTTGGTGGTACAGCTGAAGACCCAGAGAGCTGTAATGTTTACAACTAAGCCAGTTGTAAAAATGAAGCTGTAGAAGACAAGTGATGAAATTCGGTATTCTTCAGGATGGCTATTTTCAACCATTGTAATTAGACTGTGATTGTAGTTATTCATAGCTTTCTAATACGTTATCTAAGAATAAAATAGGAGAAAGATCAAGTTTAACTACCGATTAGAACAGTTTTGCATTATAAGGAGCACTGAGGTTCCAGGTTTGTACTGTACAGAGGGCACTTTAGAAAAACTGAGTGCATTAATCTTCAAAAACATGATTCTCAGTATTATGTTAAATTGAGAACTTAACTAGCCAAACAGTTAGTGGGCCTGAGGCCTGAATTTGCTGTAAAAGAATTCCAGCAAGTTTTATTTTATTTATTTATTTGTTAAATATATTTGCTGCCCATCTCACTATGGGTCTACAGCTTACAACAATAAAATGGAAAAAAAGATTAAAAATATAAACATAACAATAGCAAAGGGATAAACAATATAAATAAACAAGGGAAGTACAATAATATGAAATTAAAAAGATGGACAGAGGGGGAGCAGGAAGCACAGGGAGGAGCTGGAGTTAGCGAATTAGTTCAGTAGCTACCTCCAAAGATGTACACTCCTATTGAGTCCCCAGGTCTCCGTCAGGGCCAGGTCTTCAGGCTGTTGCAGAAGGGTAGGAGAGTGGGGATAAATCTCACCCCAGGGCACAGGATGTTCCAGAAGTCCAGCACTGCAGCAGAGAAGACTCTTCTTCTGGACCTTCTCTGGAGTTCCTTGACCAATGAGGTCTTCAGCAGGCCTTCTCTGCTAACACGAGTAGGACAGAGTTGTCTTAGCAAGACAAGACGCGTCATCAAGTAATCTGGTCCTGTGCCATGGGAGGAGTTTAAAAGTCATAATCAACACCTTAAACTGCACCCAGAAGCAAACCAGCAGTCAATGCAGTTTGCAAAGCAGTGGTGTAACATGGGGCTTTCTAGGGGCCTCCAAAGACTTCTTGTGCTGCCAATTTTGTATAAGTGGAAGCTTCCATGTAGCCCAATGTAAATTGCATTGCAACTATTTAGACGAGATGACTAGGGCTTGAGTGTCTGAAGGCAGGGAGTCCTGATTAAGGAAAGGCTGCAACTGATGTATAAACCAAAACTGTGCAAAGGCTCTCCTAGTCACAACCACCACCTGATCTTCGAGCGGGAGTCACGAGTCCAGAAGAATCCCTAAGTTGCGAACTAGGTCTGAACAGAGTAATGTTCAACCTGTCCTGAACTAAGTATGACAAACACTCAGATCCTGAGGCTCCATGCACCCAAAGTCATTCAGGACTAGGAGGGACATGATAGCAGTGTTCCAATATCTAAGGGGCTGCCACAAGGAAGAGGGGGTCAACCTGTTCTCCAAAGAACTAAAGGCAAGACAAGAAGCAATGGATAGAAACAAATCAAGAAGAGAAGCAACTTAGTACTAAGGAGAAATTTCCTAACAGAACAATTAACCAATGGAACAACTTGCCTTCAGAAGTTACGGGTGTTCCAACACTGGAAGATTTTAAGAAGAGACTGGACATCCATTTGTCTGAAATGGTATAGATTTTCCTGCCTGAGCAAGGGTTTGGGTTTGGACCAGAAGACCTCCAAGGTCCCTTCCAACTCTGTTATTTTATTAGTGCTCTAGAAAAAGTGCTGAGCATTTCTAATTAATATCATCGCCAAAAAATCTTTGCAGTTTGTTAAATACAAGCAATTTGATATATTAAACATTGGGCAATTACCCATAAATAGCTCCCTTTCTGAAGATTTAGGGATTGCTTTTATCAACTCATTTTCTTTCATGTAAATGACTCTTGGTAAAGATGAATCTTCTCTAACTGTAAAATAATTAAGACAAAACCGATATGATGAAAGTGGAGGGTATTTGACTTTAAAATGATGCAAATTCGTTTGGTAACATGGTTTGAAAGAGGAAGCTGGTCAATCATATTGAAAGAGAAGCTGTGCTTCCCTTGCTGTTGCAGGTGGGCTGCAGATATTTGCTGCTTTACATCTGCACTGACTCACTACCTCCTTGGCTTTTGTGGGTGAAAGAGAAAGAGTTTACTCTTTCTTCATCATTCCTGTGTCTCCACTGCTCAGAGAGTAAAATGTGTGTTGTTTTTTAACATGGCCATCTTCTACTCTTGCAGAGGTTATAGCCAGATCTGCTGTATCCACTTTATCATGATTAGACTTGAAAGTGGGGCCAGAAAGCTCTGAATGATGAAGCACAGCAAGACTATTTAAAGGACAAAGAGAAATAGAAATTAGTTACCTTCTCTCACTATTCTCAATTTAAAAAGATTTGCGGCTATCACAAAAATAGCTGCTGTACTGCAGTCTTTACTCCAATTTAGAGTAGAAATTCCACTATGTAGGGTATAGTATCCAACTTCTCTAGTAGCTTCCAAAAGTATCACGTCCTTTCCCATAAGAATAGTCTTGTAAAGCTTTATTCTACTTTTCAGGAGAACATCCTTACTCAATATTAGTGGCTACCTAGGTTAGTATTTGTAGGCTTATTCTAATGGATTTTAGAAGAAGACCCTGTTCATATGACATGCTTGCATATGCATGTTTATAGAACTACGGGCTCGTGTGCAGTTTTCTGGATTCTCATGACTCAGTATCTAAATTATTTGCACAACAGCCTGAATTGAGATTTGCTGGTATGTGGTTGATGTATTTGTGAATTTAGCCAGTGCAGTCAGGATCTCCACTGCTTTGGATTCAATTCCAGACAGAGTCTACAGGAAATATCCCTTTGAAAAGAAATAGCTACTGTAATGAAATGCAAACAGCTACTTTCACATCTCCCAAAATACCTTTTAGAAATCATATCAAAAACACTATAAAGGCCTGTTGTGCAAATCCTGCAGTGTGTTATGTGAACATACAGTAATTTGTGGTTGGCTGAACAGACTTAGATGTTGTTAGTATTTTTCACTGGCTGAGATGGTGAAAGAAAGTGATAGTGAAGCTATTCGTCCATTGGTTGAGTTCTTACAATGTGCTGGCTATATTTGCAGGAAAGCTAACTCAAGATTAATTGTTCCTTGATTTGCTGAATAAATACAAATTTATGTAACTATGAACGAAATATTAAGAATTGAACAAATAAAATAAAACCACTATTTGAAAAGTTTTGAAGTAAGGCAAATGGATATAAAGAAAACTACCATAATGGATCTTCAAATATTACAGTTTTTTTCCTGTCTTTATTTTTTTTTTTTTATAAATAACATAAATAAATAAATTATGAACATACTTAGTACTCTTTCCTCTTCCTATTTTCCTTACAGTAAATCCTGAGTGGTGTATTGGCCTGAGACAGCCTTACATTCTGAATCAAATATTCTGCATTGTATGAAAAGTCAAAACCTCATTTCCTATCCTCAAATTTTTAGGAATATCCAAAGTGGTACTCATGGTCACACCCTTACAAGTGTACTATATATACCCATGTAAGAAATAGCTGTATTTTCCATTTTGAACCTGTTAGTAATTTTCAACTTATGTATTGGTACCAATGCCTATTTATTTAAACAGATAAGTGAATTTATTTTATTTTATTTTATTTTTATCTCACATATTCATTACTTCAGCTGTTTTTTTACTTCATCTTGATTGGTCTATAAAAACAACAGGGATTTTTAGGCTTGCATATAGTTTTAAAAGATAGCATTCATTCGATACATAATTCTGTAATATTCAAAGTCTTTAGCCAATGTTCCATTAATTTGAAAACATAATTCAAGTTGAAAATTTGAAAATTTTCAAAATGTGCATATATGCTACTACATAAAATAGACGTTTTCTTACCTTTAGCTTTTCAATGATGTCTTTCATCAACCCAGGCAAGCAAAAGATTTGTTTTTGTCTCAAGACCTGTGATCTAAAATAGAAACCTTTTTATAATCAGGAAGTGTCATAGTGCAACTAGATTCTCAATTGGTTCTACGGGTTTTTTTGGCTGTGTGTAAAATTTGTTGCAAGAACAAATTATATTTCTCATATGTTAGCTGACAAAATGTTTCTGTCTGTAAGTGTAACATCCTCTTCAACTGTCTGACATAAAGTATACCTATGCTGAAATATTATAAAGAAATACTGTAAGTGTTACAATTTGCTATATTTTATATAAACAATTTATGCGATGACCATAGACTATTTGAAGGGTTATCTGTATAAAATTATCCTTAATTCTTTGCTTCTGTTCAGTCAATTGAAGTGTAATCTTCAATCCAAGATGAAATTAAACTGAATGCAGAGGAATTGCCATCCTTTTCCTCCTTGTCTTAGTATATAGTATATAAATAAGTTCAGTTTAATTTGTAAATTATAATTTAATGTCTAATGTATAGAAATCTTATTAGGGTTAGTGACTGTTGAAACAAACAACAATAAAAGATAAAGAACTTCAGATGGAACCAAATTTTATTGTAACAGAATTCTAAAATTTAAGGGAGTTAATTCCTGCATAAATCAGTGATGATTGAAAGAAACCTCTTCTAGACATATGAGGATTGCCGACTGACAATAGGAAGTAAGTGAAGTGATCCCCATAATTTGCCAAAACCTTTTTCCATGTATGAGTGTCATTGTAATAATGGAGTCCTATAGAGTAATTTCTATAGAGATTCTCAGTCATTCAGGTTATGGTTGTCCCAAAGGTGCTTTTTTGAAAAGCAACTGGGCTTTTTCTTTGAAGATGTTTCATTTCTCATCCAAGAACAGAACTGAAGAAACTTCTTGGATGAGAAATGAAACGTTTTCAAGAAAAAATAAAGTCCAGTTGTCTTTCAAAAAAGCACCATTGGGACATCTCTATAGAATAGTTCTCCCCTCCCCCATCCATCTGCGTTGCATCATCACAGCATTTATGTGTTGTTATGTGTTCCTAGTGGAAATTAGGAAAGAAAGCCAGGAGTGTATATCAAAGTCTACTCACAGCAGGGCATTCAAGCCATGAAAATAATTCAAGTATTATTCAAGTATTCAAGTATTATTATTCAAGTAATTCAAAATATTCTATGTTTTTTTATCTTGGCTGTACACCGCCCTGAGTCCTCAGGGAGAAGGGCGGTATATAAATTGGAAATTAAATTAAATTAAATTAAAAATTAAGTTATCCATCTAAAGCAACTAAGCTCCTATATTGACAGTACCAGTATAGGAAGATGCTGGAAGCAGATTGTTGTTTAATGACAACAACAATGCCATAGTTTCATATTGTATGGAGAAGGCAATACTAACCCATTCTTATATTTTACTGAGAAAACCACATGCACAGGCAACATAAAATAATTTACCCTATGGTGCCTATAGAGATGATGGCCTCTCTTGCAGATTCTTTTTTGAACCACCAATAACCAGATTGACCTAGGCTCAATAGACAAAAAGCACTGGAAATTTGGAAACAGGGTGGGTGTCTCCCTTCAATGGCTGGGGGAATACTTTTATTTTACAAAAGGAAAGCTCATCAAAAAAAGGAAAGAACAAAAAAGATAGTAAATTATAAATAACTTAAATTCTTTTTCATTAATTTCTAGTTTTAAACTATAAATTATTCTTAATTAAAATTATATATTTATCTATTTTCTAGAAGCTCTGTATCTATCTTATTTTCTTTAAAGTCTAATTTCACTATATTTTTACATCTTTCTATTCTGTATCTCTAATGAACTTGTGATTCCTATTTTTTACCCCAAGCAGCACATCTTATTCCTACGAGCTGTTATTTTCAGTCTGAACCTGAGGCCAAACCCCATTAAATTTCTACATTAATGGTTGGAGCATAAACTTATATAACCATCATATTAAGGGGCTGCTGATAGAATTAGTTATTATTCGGTCACTCATTGCATTATACCAAAATACTTTCTTCATTTTATTCTTCCTGACTATGAAAACAGCATTGTTACTTTTTGTATCCTGAGCAGTAATCACAGTGATCTTGTACTGAAAATATCAAATTCCAGTCCATTTCAATTCACCGATATCTAAGATATTAGTATATAGTTGATTCATTACATCTTTCACTGTGTTGAGCTTTCCATGTTCATTGCTTCTTACATTTCCTGTTCCCATTGATTCTGTCTTTGCAGATTTGGCTTTTCTTTTCCTGCATAGCAACGTTAGTAACTGGATGCCCAGCATGCTTAATTTAGCCACATCATAAATTCCATTAGTACTTTGAAAGATCCTCAGTTCTTCCTCAGTAGCATCTTGAATGCCATCCAACCCGAGAAGCAGTAAAAAGCCTGACAGATTGTAAGCACCCGTGCTCCTTTCTCTCCCTCCTAACTTTGCTTCCCCTATTGTCTCAGCAACCCAGCTACCAATCAAACAGCCGCATTGGGTAAGAAGCTGGGGCACAAAATGGCTCTGCAGCTATAGGCTGCATGAGAAATAGCCTGAACAGGGCCAAGGCTCAGGAGTAAAAATAAAACAAAAAGCTAAAACAAAACAAAAAAACTAACAAATTTGGAAATTGTAAGGAAGAAAACAGCTGGACTGTATGGCTTACAAAACCAAAATGAAGCAAGAAAATAATTGTTGATGCTTGTCAATTCTGTGATTTCTTCATTGCCAATCAAACAACATCTGTATACATGGATATCACCAGGTGGAACACACAGAAATTTAGAATAAAACCACCATATCTAACCATACTTCACAAGACAAAATTTTAAAAAATGAATACAGGTTCCCCCAGCATGTAAAATTAAAAAAAAAACCCATAAAGTTAAAGTTAAAAGCCCCTCCTACTCCTAGCCACATGTTTTATTTACTTTAGCATCCAAGTGCAATGGAAATCTAGAATCGTTACCAGACTCTCTCTTTCCTTTCTTGAAAGAAAAACAATTTCATCCATTATAAGTTGTACAGGTAGTTCTTTCATAATGACCCTAATTGGGCTGGGAGCAGAATTTCTGTTGCTAATGAAGCAATTGTTAGGCAAAATATCATGTGATCACTCTGATTAGGAAGGACAGTTCCTGGCTGTGAATATTGGGAGAGGATGTCATGTTTCCCCTGCCTTGCCATGCTCATCTCCACTTCAACTTCCCCTATCTGCCCCCCATCTCTAATCTTTCGGTTATTCTGCCCTTTGCTGCCCTGCCACTCCTTTGCCTTCTTCTTCCTCCCACTGCTGATGATGGGTGCCTGTCCGAGTCAGCTGCTGGCCCTTCCCAAGGCCTCCCCAATACCATCCCTCACATGGCCTCCCACAAAGCTACCTTAGCTGTACATGCCTCATCAGAGCCATGGTGGCACAGTGGTTAGAATGCAGTATTGCAGGCTAATTCTTCTGCCTGCCAACTGTCAGCAGTTCAGCAGTTCAAGTCTCAAAGTTGATTCAGTCTTCCATCCTTCCAAGATTGGTAAAATGATGACCCAGATTGCTGGGGCAATATGCTGACTGTGTAAACCACTTAGAGAGGGCTGTAAAGTACTGTGAAGCAGTATATAAGTCTATAAGTCTATCAGCAGTAGCGAGGAGAAGGAGAAGCAGAAAGCAGAGTGCAGGGCAGCCAGAAGGGCAGAGAGGAGCAGGGAGATGTTGGGTGGAGTTGAAACACATTTTGTATTCAAAATGTGGGCAGGCCAAGAGGCCAAATTTTGCCAAGCACCCAACATTTGATCATGTGACTTCAAAGGTGCTGCAATATTTATAACTTCAAGGAATAGTTGTAACTGCTATTCAGTCAGTTTTTATTATTTTTTTATTGCATATTGGCAATAAAAATCAGACCATCAAGTACAAGCTGGCCGGAAACTATTTAAAAGATGAGCCACACTCTGTCAAGGACCTAGAAGTACTCATTTCAAAAGATCTAAGCCCCAGAGCTCACTGTAACAACATTGTTAAAAAAGCATTAAGAGTTGTCAACCTTATTTTACGAAGTTTTCTCTCTGGTAATGCTATACTTCTAACTAGGACATACAAAACCTTTGCCAGACATATCCCTGAATACTTCTCACCTGCCTGGAACCCACACTGTATTTCGGACATTAGTATATTAGAGAGAGTCCAGAGGTATTTTACAAGAAGAGTACTCAACTCTTCTACTCGCAATTAAATTCCTTTTACCACCAGGCTTGAAATTTTAGGCCTGGATAACTTTGAACTACACCGTCTACGTTCCGACCTAAGCTTAGTATACAAGATTATCTACCTTAACGTCCTACCTGTTAATGACTACTTTAACCTCAACCACAATAACACAAGGGCTATCAATAGATACAAACTAAATATAATTCGCTCTAATCTTGATTGCAGAAAATACGACTTCAGCAAAAGAGTATGTCTGGAACACTCTACCTGATCCTGTTGTTAGTTTCTCTAACCCCTATACCTTTTGCCTTAAACTGTCTTCTGTGGACCTTACACGTTTCTTAAGAGGTCCCTAAGGATGCACCAGTGTGCCTACCATCCCTGTCCTACCATCCCCATTTATATGTAATCATTTTATGTGTTTATGGCTATGTTTTGCCTATTTATATCCATTTATTTGTGCCATTTTTTTCATATGTCTATATCTATACTGATACTTGTTTCCTTGTACTTGTTGACAAACAATTAAATACAATAAATAAACAAATAATAAATTTGGAATGGTTGATAAGCATTCTACTGGTAGGCCAAACCTAGATCAAAATGTCTATTTTGCAAATGATCTTAGTTGGGTTTGAATCTCTTTTCTACCATGTGTTCAATGATGATTTAAAAAGAGCCTTTAGATACCCCATGGCTGAATGTAGAGGAGACTGAATAATAATTCCCTATTGTCTCCTTCTGGCAAAATTCAGTCAGCTGGATCTGGATCCTTCAAAATGCCATTCTCCCATTGGTATTGAAACC